TAATACAAAATAATAATAATAATATTCTAAAATAATAATTAATAAATAATAAATAATAAAATAATAAACTAATAATTAATTTGTTCTATAACACTACAATTTACTCTCTCACAACGTATATAAATTGTCAATGTAGAATTTTTTAAAATTTTAGACAAATTTTCTTAATAAATAGCCAACTAAATTTAATAAAATGTTTTTTAAATCAATTGTATGAATTAGTAAAATTGATTTAAAAAAACTTTTATCAAATTTTATCAAGTAGCTGTTGAGAAATTTTGATTTAATGATTGAAAAAAATTCCCGTCAAAAATAGTTGTGCAAAAAATTTCTAAGCTTTGAATGAAAATTTCTCAACAACTATCTGATATAATTTAATAAAGTTTTTTTAAATAACATTTATGAATTAATAGATTTTATTTTAAAAAAAATTCATCAAATTTTATCAAGAGAAAGCTTTATTCAAATTTGAAAAAATTTTCATTACCTTTAAAAAAATAGCCATGACAAAAATTTTCTTAAATTTTGAATGGAAGTTCTCAACAACTATTTGATAAAATTTGATGCTAACTTATTTAAATAAATTTTGTTAAATCATAGAATTTATTTTAAAAAAATTTCATCAAAAACTTTATCAAGTAGTTGTTATTTAAAATTTTTGTTATAGCTATTTTTTTAAGGGGCGGTGAAAAATTTTCCAAACTTTGAATGAAATTTTCTTGACAAATACTCAATATAATTCAATGGAAATTTTTTTAAAATAAATTATATTTTTATATTTCTCATAGAAGTTATTTAAAATAATTTCTTTTGAATTCTATTAGTTAATTGTTGAGAAATTTTCATTCAAAGTTTAGAAATTTTTTGCGCAACTATTTTTTTTTTAAGATGGTAGTAATTTTTTTCAATCTTAGAATCAAATTTTTTTAACAACTACTTGATAAAATTTGATGAAAATTTTTTTAAATCAATTCTACTAATTTATAGAATTGATTCAAAACTTTTTATTGAATTCAGTTAGTTAGTTGTCAATAAAATTTGTCAAAAATTTTAAAAAATTTTACTTCGACAACTTACATGTATGTCTATATCACGTGATATCTGGTACATGCAAAATTATGTGATTTGGTATGTGTCCATAGACAGACAGTCTACGGGCACTTACCAAATCACGTGATTTGCATGTACCTGTATATCACATGATCTGTACGTATGTATATACATACATACCAGATATATATCTAACTATACTGATATGCAAGTAAATAAATTAGCATGAATAAATTATATTTTATATGGAAATTTATATAACATTTATGCATGTATGCCAAAAACCTTACTTTTCGAACAAGATATTGGTTTTATATAGCAACTATATATGTGAATTGTAGGATATTTTATTTAAAGAATCAAGACTGCAACATTAATATGTGAGAAACTTTGATTCATTCAGTCTACAATTATACTATCACATTCTAAATTTTCCTTTTGCACTCTTCTTCATATTCTTTCTCAAACCAAGCTATTCTTTCTAAAAATAAGGTTTTTTATATAATGCAGTTTTTAGAATATATTTCTTCCCAACTATTTACAATAGGTGGAACGGTACATTTGGCTTAAGTTTTGCAGCTATAAAATGTTGCCTTTCATGAATATAAATGAAGGTAATTGATGTATTTCGATTTAGTGATATATTATCAGGAATAAATGTGAGAGAAAGATATTTACTGAAATAGTAAATAGGTTATTGAAAGGTGTTGGCAATGACATATTCGAAAGAGAGCATAGACATCCAATGGTCTTTACTGCAAGAGCCAGCTTTCCATTGTACTATAAATAATATCTTGTCATACTCCTTTTCTTTTTTCAAAAACAACTGAATATAATAAGACTTGCGAGTGCAGAGTTCTTTATAGATAAGTTTTCTAACTTCTAGCCAGTAGTCTTCAGGTTTTCTAATTGAAATGACAATAGCACAGAAACTACAATTACTATCCCCTTTCACATCAATATATGCTGAAAAATATTCATTCATAAATTTTAGAATATTTATCTCAAATTGTTTAGAATTTGAAAGTTGAGAAGTATTAAAAATTTGGTTTAAAGGTGTATTTGATTGCTGAATAGTTTGGTTTTTTTTAAAATTTGTTATACTGTCTAGTATTTTTTTTTTTTTTTTTGCAGCAATATCTTCACATTTACTTCAAAGCAATCCTCATTTAGTACCTGATTTTGGTGCTTTTTTTAGTGGCAACTTAGTAGTTTTAGATAATAGTATGTTTATTGTATTGTGAATTTTTGTAATAAATTCTGTTCTAGTAACATTATCTAGCAATTGCTAAAATTTCTTTTCTGTGTCAATAAAAACATTATAAAATTCTGAGTCAATAATAGCAGATTTTGAGGGATGTGGAAGCTCTATTATATCTGGCCTCTCAAGAAGCCACCTTTTGTCAATGATTGATAAAGAAATTGGATAATGCATTAGAATCATATGCTTGCAAGGTAATTTAAAATTAATTTTGGTTAAGCATTCATATTCTTTAGCATTCTTATGCACAGTTAGTTTTTTTTTGTAATATTTTTTTTATATAGTTAATTGCACATGCTGATATATTTCTAATGAGTTCACAAAATATAGAATTACGAAGAGTGAATGGATTAATAACTACTTTGTTTGAACCCGTACATACTGTTGCTTTTAGATGCTATAAATGCATTGCTTAATCAATCTGACGAAATACACTTTTTAAATCACTTGCTGTCTCAATTAATCATTTAAATGCACTATGGTATGACTCAGTTTGCCCTATAGTTAATATTCCCATATAACAAAACCACTTAGTATAGGCCAATATTTACATTTTCAAATCTTTCATCCACGTTTGAATATATAATTCAATTTTTTCAGGAGAGTGTGCTTTTTTTGCAGCTTTTTTAATAGTATTCAAAGACTGAAGAATTTCTTCTTCTTTTTCTGTAAATCATAATGCTTCAACCTCTTTCTTGAATGCCTCATAATCATTATCAGTTTTAAAAAGTTTGCGACAATTAACTTTTAAATTTTGTTCCAGAAGATGCCAAACACACAACATCTTATCAGTTTCCGGAAATACTTTATCTGAAGCATTTCGTAATGCCTGATCTCTATCAGATATAAAAACATTTAGTAAGTGTTATAAATTTTTTTGTGAAGTGTTTGCAAGAACTATATATATGATGCCTTACTTTCATCTTTAATTCAGGCTATTGCAATTTGATATGATGCTAATGCCCCTCTTTTATTACTAATATTATTAATACCAACTGCGCTGACAAGAGGATATTTTTAGATATTGGTTCGATATGTAGAGTCCACAATAAGAACCTCAGGACACTTAGCAGCGCATTTAGCTGCTTCTATATATGAAAAAAAGGTGGGTTAAATATCTCTTTGCTATTTTAAGAGCCACAACTATATAATCTCACTCTTTAAAAAGTCTTAATAGTATTTGTGTAGAATCATTATTGTAACCTTCATTCAAAGCAAGTCTAATACAAGCACATTCATTAATAATATTCTTTGAAAGAATTATTCCACCATCTATAGTTTTGTTAACAGCTGCTGTTATAACCCAAGTAGATGTATTATTATCATGTAACTGTTTTGCAAGAATTTTTGACTTAAGCTTATAGAACAATATTGAAAAAAAGTTGCAACTTCTTCTAATTCAAGCATGGAGTGATTATGCTTAAATTCAGCCTTCATAATAACCCACATTATTTCAGTATTTCAAATATTTGTAACTAATTGATATTTTGTTGCTGTAACTCTAATACATATAGAGCAACTATCATGTTTAGTATTCTTTTTTCTTTTTTGAGTTTATTTTGTTATATTCCAACAGTTATACCATTCACCACCTTTCGTGCATTGTAAAACAACAAAAGGTGACTTGCCATTACATCTAGTAAGGTTGCTATCTTTTTTTGAAAAAGCAAACCCTCTATACTTAGTAGCTGATTTAGCAACATTTTTGAAAGCTTCTAAAGATTCAAACTCATCATTTATCTTTGGCATAATTGGCTCAGTCATTATGGTTCTAAATTAAAATGCTGCACATATATATTAGATATATAGAAATATGATATATGTGCTTATAAACTAATATAGCTATGTGTATAGTTTAACTAACAAGTAAATATGCTAATTTATACAGTAAAAGATGTAATATCAAACGTTTTATTATTAAAAAATAACAAAAATATTTGCATCAAATTATAGATCTGTGCTTTTTTATTAATGGATAGGATTTAGGCATACTACCGGTAGTATTTTGTACTCAATTGTGACACCACTTAAAGCTAATTATCTACAAATTTAACAAATTAAT